CACCACTTTGTGTAGATTCCACTTCAATTCGGAGGGAAGCCAACACTATAACAAAGTGATCCCTAATTATGAGTCCTGAAAGAGTGAATAGCCACCCCATATCATAGTTGTATCAAAGAGCAGCAATGGCAAACGATTGTTGCTCAAATTCAGCAACAACCGTTGTTAAGATTGTTTTTACCTAAATATTATACCACATTATAATCAAGGACATTTATGGCCGGAGAATTATGCGTGATTCTTGTGTGTAATTGTCTTCTCAGTGACTATTTACATTTATTTTGTCAGCATCTGCGTCAAGTCAAGTACCAATATTGCTCGTGTTGTACAATGGTATTAAAATAATAATTCGTTTTTATATAGCGCTTAATACAAATGTCTCTAAGCGCTTTACACATATACTATTACCCCGGTCATTGGATTCAGTGCTTGCCCGCACACACTGTTTGCACAATCTCCACTCCCTGGGGAGCATTCCAGCCATGCGTTACTTGACGGGTACCGGGTACCCATTCAACGCATGGGTGGAGAGTAGCAAGTGCAGGTTAATATCTTGCCAAAGGATATTAATGCCGTGTCGGAATTCGAACCCACGACCTTCGCATTTCCAGTCAAGCTCCTTAAACCACTCGACCACGACACTCCCGATATTAGATTACGTTAACCAACACTTCGTACATCAGATAGCGGTATATACGGAAGTACTCAAAACGTGATTACGTGAGTAATCGTTACAAGCCCTTTAAAGATACAATGACCCTTTTGCAGCCAACATCAAATTCTGTAGAACTTTGCAGGAATTATGAATTATGTCATGTATGTCCTATCTGTGAACTGTAAATGTTAGCAGTGTCCTAATATATTATATTCAAATTATGCAAGGAAACCCGTTTACTTGTAAGACTACACTGTCAGACTCTATTGAGTGACTGACTGGCTTTTTTGTTCTTGTTTGGTAATAATATACATAAGATGAGCTGTAAAGAGTACAAAGTATTTGTCTACATCAATCACCCACTTCTTGTAATGGCTAAAATTAAAGTGATTCAATTTTTGTGCAGCATAAAACGTACGGCCATTCGGCACAATGGTCTGTAAATCAGACTATTACTTACTGGCTCTATAGCTGTTAAGTCGATTCAACATCTAATAGTCGACTTAAAGACATTTTCAAACCCCCAATGTTTAGGAAAGTTCTTAATTAGTTTCATCTTTCAAATGCCGTTGGAATTTACACCCACAACAAAAAGTGAGTCATTTGACACATTTAAGCATAATTTTCGTGAGTCAGGTGTAAATTGACTCATTAGTAACAACCAATGAGTCTCTATTGACTCATTTATATCTCACCAGTGTGTCAATCATGAGCTGACGCATTTGCAAAATGCTTCGACTGACTCACATGGTCGTAAAAAATGAGTCAAGATCGACATAAGAGCATTTTAGAAGAAACAAGTGAGTCAACTTGAAAGTGAGGCTGTATACATGCGCGCGCATGCTTTCGTTACGTCATCCAAAATGCACATTCTCGAGCCATATTTGAATTCCCGATCGACGACGCGACGTCGCCATCTTATATCTTGGATTCAGAAGAGTTTTGACTGCAGCTAGTGAAAAATTGGTACGCATAATTATTCATATGGTTTTAAACGATGCTTTTTATGACTGGATTCGTGGGCTTATTATACAAATGATGCATGCGTTCATTTTACGATATCCGCACTCGAGTTGATGAGGCTGTGTGTAACTTAACTATATAGATTCTACTGTATCGCACGAAGCCGTGTCGAATGAAAACATGCATGATCTTGCATCATTGTTTTATACAACGAAACTCCTAGATCCTTGTTATTTGATGTAAAACGAATTAATTCAAGATTGTTTCGTGACAGTATGGGTGACAAATAAATCTCAAGTTAAGGCTTAATTTAGTGCGTACAAAGTAGATTTTTCAGATTCGGGTAGCGGGACCACCGATTACATCGCTAAAATGTGATATTTTAGGATATATTTTCCATCGCAAATGTGGACAGTGACTCTGGCATGGTATGGTATGTGTGTGATAGGCCTAGGGAGTAGGGGGGTCTATGTCATGATGCACCCACAACAAAAAGTGAGTCACCCTTACTCAAATTGATGAGTCACTGGTTTGTCCGTACAGCGAAACACTTGAAGGATCATGTGAGTCACTATGACTCGATACAAATGAGTCTCTTAGATAAATAAGACTCATTTGTATCGAGTCATAGTGACTCACATGATCCTTCAAGTGTTTCGCTGTACGGACAAACCAGTGACTCATCAATTTGAGTAAGGGTGACTCACTTTTTGTTGTGGGTGTAACCTTTTAATTTTTTGACCTACTTTAAGACTCAGTTTAATTTTCGCTATGTATTGTGAGCGTGGATCAATTTCATGCTTGAATTGTGCTATGAATGCAGCGTAATGCGATATAAATCACTGATGATGAAAAGACACCTCGTTAAAAATGCCTGTGATGGATTAGAAACATTCTCCAGAGTTGTGTAAGGTTTTTCTTTTCAATCTCATTCCGAATCTCATGTTGTCAATTGTTGGAACCCTTCGACTTTAAACAGCATTATGAATTCTTCTTCTTCCATACAGAGTATTATCGTATTGTAGAGACGATGAACAAACACAAATGATAATACATCGTCGTTATCATGCGAATGTTCAATGCTATCTCTCTCTGTTGATTTATGCGAAGAGTAGAATCAACCAAGTGGAATCAACTGTAAAACGAATGCATCTCGAGTCCCGAAATATTAAATTGCCAATCCATGTCATGGATGTATTAAAGAGTAGTAATGACGAATAATTGTTGCTTAAATTCAGCATTGTTAAGACTTCTTTTAGGACATTAAGCTAGATAAAACTTGGTCGACAAAAATGACGATGTATTGAACACTTTTAGAAAACATTGGAAATAGAATGAATAGACATAGATGCGATCACGGCAGCCGAGGACGCCGAACTTGATTTGACTTTGACAAAATCGGATGCGAAATGATGAAAACGATTCGACAAAGTTACAAAAATGAATGACCAAGGACGAAATTGACTATTAAATGTGCAAGATTAGGAATGTCCGGTACGCAAGTGAATGAAAAGGTATCAAATTGATTGGAAAAGTGTTAAAATGGACGAGAAAATCTTAGTAAACATGGTCGTCAATCCTGAAAATATTTACTAAGAACTCTTTCCCTCTTTGCTAAATCCTCCTAATACAAGTTGGAATATTTTAGAACAAAATTCCCTTCATTATGAACGTTAAAGAGAATTTAGATACTGGAAGGGTAAGAGCATTGACATATTTACCAGCTTCTGAATATCCAAATAACATTATAGAGCACTGTGGTATATTGGTGAGGACTCTTGACTCTCATACAAAAGGTTCGTTCTGTATCAGTGCTACTGCTTTACATCCTTGGGCAAGGTGTTTTGGCCACATATTAGGGACTTTTAGATTTGCGTGGGCTGATACGTGTGACGTCCATTCAAGGCAGTGCATTAAAAGGACGTCGATATTAGCAATTCCCATTGTCTTCGTGCGAATCTAAAAGTCCCTATTTCTTCTCGACCCAGGTGTAGCCTACTTGGTAACGATGGAGTAATAACAATTGCAAGGCCCGCAGAAAGAGCAGTATTAATAATGATGTGACTATACCCTTGGTAAAGTAGACAACATGTTCACATGATCACAATTGTCTGTTTATTTTGCAGGCAAGAGTCGGGAACAATAATAGCGACTGATCAATAGCGCATGTAGATATCAGTATCGGTATGAAAACAGAGTATGATATTATCATTACATCGTGTTTTCATGTGATATTGACCCATCCTAGATTTCACTGATAAGGCAAGTATATACAGACATTTTCAAGCCCCCAATGTTTAGGAAAGTTCTAAATTAGTTTCATCTTTCAAATGCCGTTGGAATTTAACCTTTTAATTTTTTGGCCTACCTTGAGACTCAGTTTAATTTTCGCTATGTATTGTGAGCGTGCAACAATTTCATGCCTGAGTTGTGCTATGAATGCAGCGTAATGCGGTATAAATCACTGATGATGAAAAGACACCTCGTTAAACATGCATGCGATTGATTAGAAACATTCTCCAGAGTTGTGTAAGGTCTTTCTTTTCAATCTCATTCCGAATCTCATGTTGTCAATTGTTGAACCCTTCGACTTTAAACAGCATTATGAATTCTTCTTCTTCCATACAGAGTACATACCTCTTTACAGAGTGTTATCGTACTATACTGGGGAGTGCAGGTAGACCACTACACCGGGGTTCCCCCAATACTCATATACGAATAGTGCAAAGGTAGTGAATTTGACCATACTTAAACCTAAAAATGAGGGGGAGCGAGAGAAAAAGGAAAATGCTTCGAAACTGAATCCAGACAACATACTACAGTTTATATCATGTTATATTACGGCCCGACCCCCCCCCCCCCCCCCCCCCCCACTCAGAGGTCGGAATGACCGCATGCGTGTTGCCAAAATGTCCGGTAAAGGTGTACTTTTCGTGCGACAAAGTCCGGCCCGAGAATTGTAAAAAAAGGGGTGTATTTGACTTTTCACCCGGAGATTTCTTTAAAAAGGGGGTGTTTTTCTTTTTTTCTCTCATATCTTTAGACTCCTGAGAAATTTAGGGGGGTACATTGAGCATTTTTCCTGATTTAGGGGGGTCTCCAAGGCAGGAAAAGCCCGCGAAAAGCCCGCGAAAGGGGGGTTGGGAAATGTTGGCAGTCCTCAGATAGGGGGTGCTTTCAAAAAGAGGGTACGAGCATATGCGTACCCTAAATAACACTGAGTTGGGGGGGGGGGCGGGTATTACGGCCATACATGTAATGCAAGGCAAGCGAATCAGTGGCTGAGCGATTTTACTCAAATAGACTACGAAACTTTAGAGACCTGCTATATATAAAGACAAGCGGGTCCCAATTTCGATCATTTATAACATCAGTCGCCGCAGTGAATGAACGGAAACTTGCAACTGAAACTGTAACTCCACTTCGAAGTTATATCAATGTGTATTATCTCATGCTTCAAGTTGATAAGGATGAGTGGATAAAGAAGAATAGATTATTTTATCTCTTTCTGTATGTTCTAAATAGTGAAAACTTTGACAAAGGAGCTCGTGGGCGAACCACTCGGAGTTGCTCGCATTCTTACCGGTGGTTAGGTGGTACATGTATACCTGTACAGCAAGTCGAGCGCACAACGGGCAGAGATCACGCCACACTGCACTGCTTGGAATCTCCTGCCTGCGAGAGCTAGAAGTTACCATTTTAATTTAATCAAAGAGCTGAGTGAAGAAAGTTTATATATTTTATGGCAATTTTAGTAAAATGTTCTTATTCTTTTTTTAATGTAAACGTGACGCTGTGAGTTTAGCAAGATTAAGTTTGCCTGTACAAGGTGTGCGTCTAAATTCACACTGCATGTACTCTCATCCAAGGAGTCGTTTTTCAGAAGTGTGTACGCTATCGTCACTCGTGGAACTCGTAAGGTCGTCGATCAATTCAATGCATGTTTGTTATACAAGAAATCGTGAATTCTCTTCATAATTCTACGAGTTTCTTTTGCATGAAGTCGCATCTTTTCAACGACATACCGAAGTGTCTGCTTTCGAATTTGCTTGACTTAGAACAAAGTCTGATTTCTCCTGCTTTCATCCAGCTACCCGAAAGAGTTGTAACATTTTTAGCCTCACCTTAAATTTGGACATCTATTTCTTTAGCCATTGCTGTGATTTATAAAGACATAGAAAGATCAGGGCTGTCGGTTTGGATTCTAAGCCACCTTGAAGTTTTATTTTGGACAAATATATTTGAAGTCGAAGAAACAGAAAATGGCAACATCGTCGATAGCCGTTGTTGTAATCCTCTTCGTGGTCGTATGCCAACTCGGGACAGTTCACTCATCAGGAGGTAAGTCAACTCTTTCCAGTTTTATCTCTCTCAAATCTCACATTTGTACTAGTAGTACTATATATCAACGGCTCAACCATACCATATTATATATATATATAGTCATAGTTATATCAATTTCCCGTCATGATAAAGAGAGCAATATTGTGCATATCTTTTTGTTTTAGTATATACTTTAAAAAGAGAGCCACAAAGGCGCTAGAGTCATGTGTATTAACGCCTTTCTTGCTCTTTGCAAACGGATATTCTTTATTTTATTAATACGTCATGCTAGTACAATTGCAAAGTTGATCAGCTCAATACTTACATCTTAAATAAAAACTATCAAATATACTTAGAAAGGGCGGATGGTCAAGCGTCGACTAAGTGGTTAATGGTGTGAATATCACTCTTCAACTCTTTTTAATCATGTTAATATGTCATGATAACATATGAATTTATCTTTTTTAAAAAGAAAACGCGCATTTCATCGGAGGGATATCAGTTACGTCATTTTGTAGTAAAAATACTGATAAATGAAAGGGCTGTCAACCTGCCGGCACCTGTATGTCATTTATTATTGCTTATGAATAGATTGGTTGTTGAGTACAAGGTAATCGTCTTACTCTAAACCTTTTTGTCTGTACGTGTATCCTTGTTGCACTCTCAATACTGACATGTTTTAAAGAATAACCCTGAATTAAACGGGAGAATGTTCGTCGTTGCAGACATGTGGACTCGCAAAACGTTATTAACGGTATTTGTCAACCTTCACTGTTATAAGATACATATAAATCATGGCTCGGAATTGCTGGGTTGGATTCGGTGTGGAGTCGGTCTCGCGGTGTGACTGAGGTGTTTTATACATTCCTCAATCACACAAACGAAACCGAGAACAGTCCGACTGAAGACCGTGTGGACTGTGGAGTCGGTCTTTCGGTGTGACTGAGGTGTTTAATACATACCTCAATCACACAAACGAAACCAACAACAGTCCGATAGCAGACCTTGTGGACTGTGGAGTCGGTCTTACGGTGTGACTGAGGTGTTTAATACATACCTCAATCACACAAACGAAACCAGGAACAGTCCGATAGCAGACCGTGCGGACTGTGGAGTCGGTCTTTCGGTGTGACTGAGGTGTTTTATACAAACTTCAATCACACAAACGAAACCAAGAACAGTCCGATAGCAGACCGTGTGGACTGTGGAGTCCGTCTTACGGTGTGACTGAGGTGTTTTATACATACCTCAATCACACAAACGAAACCAAGAACAGACCGACTGCAGACCGTGTGGACTGTGGAGTCGGTCTTTCGGTGTGACTGAGGTGTTTTATACAAACCTCAATCACACAAACGAAACCAAGAACAGTCCTACTGCAGACCGAACAAACAATGACATTACCCCCCCCCCCCCCCCCCCCCCGAATGATCGAAGATTCGGCGGTTTGGGGTCGATGTGGGGTCGGTTTGGCGGTCTGTCTGAGGTATCAACCACTCGTCGTATTCAAGCTGAATACATCAGCCGCAAACTCAACTGGATTCTGGAACAACTGAAGAAGAACAAAAGATTATGTATTCTTCCAGGACAGTATAATTTCAGCAACCTCTAAACAAAATGTTTTAGGGGCCAGAACCCATATTCATAAAATCTTACTAAGCTAGTTGTCAACTCAATACATAGGCTATTGTAGTTGACAATAGGGCTTAGTAAGGTTTTTTGTATATCGGCACTTGGCTCTACATTACTTGCATGTGCAATATCAGAAGGTATAAAGTGACGCAAAATCTAGGTTGAAGGTCTTAATGTTAGTCAGGATTCAATCATTTTATAAAACATTGTTTCTTAGAGAGCGCGTTACTTATCAGACACAGACCAAAGCGTATTTCATTATTACCCTTACCTTTGAATTCAGTGACTATTCTGCACTATACAATGCACACCCTCCACTCTATTGGGAGCATTTTATCCTGTTGCCTTTACGGACAATGCACATGTATGCTAATAATAAAAGCTTTACCAATACCATGCAGGAACGTTTTGACATTATTTAATCCTAACTGGCGTTGCATGCCTTCGTCCTAAGCCTCATTGAGCCACTTAATCATCCTTAAAGAGAAAATAAACCACAGTGAAAAATTATTGTCGGGTTATAAGAATAATGATAATAATGTTGGCTTCTTATAAAGTGCAACAGCTCCGCCAGGCATGACTCTCATGGCGCCTCACATACAAATACGAAAACAAAAGAAGGTACAATATATCTATACAACAAACTCGGTAACAAAAATCCTGGATTTAGCTCATACTGCAATCATAATTTAACCTTTAGGTCAATCAGGAATCCCATGACTTTTACAAGCCGATCGCCAGTCTGATTATCAAGATAATTACGATTGGAAATCGAAATTTCATTTTTCCTTTTCCTAACGTGTTTTTTTGTCACATTACAGTCTATTGAGGAAATGAGTATGGTAATACCGGTCACTCAAAGATTGTTACTTTTTTGAGGCACTTGATGATCATTTTGAGGCGCAATTTTGTTTGGGCTTCAATATTACATCATATCACAGACACTGATAACACGTTGGGCCGTGCATCTCAGATTTAACATTGTTAAATGATGCCTTTCCATATTGAACTTAAAACATTAAACTATAAAGAGCATATTATCAAACACAGAATCATGAATAGAACTCACTTTTCATCAAGTTTATGACGAAAGTTTGTTATTTTGGAGGGGTATATTTGTAGACAAAGTTCATACTAAGCCCAAGTTTGCGAACAACTATACAAATTGTCCAGCAAGCAAGATATCAAGCTGAAGAAAAAGGTTTTCAAAGTGCATAGAACTGGCAACAAACAATTAGGACAAAAATTGAGTTCTGGTGGGGGTTTTGGAATCATCACATTGATAAAAAAATAAATCAGTCGTTCTAACATGTATGCGTACTTTACACTGGAATTGGTAGATGGGACTACACACAATAATGTGGTATGAGTCCTGCGCGACTGTCTGGTCCGAACTTGTAACCGTTTCTTGTTATATTTAAGCTATTGTTCATTTGAAGAGCACTTCTTTCTTGGGGTTATTTCTACAATTATATTTTTCCGCGCATGAAAAAGAACGAGAAATATCACGAATTATTGGTCCATATTTCCAAGAATCAACTTTCTCTTAAAAAACTTGTTGACGGAAATTATTGAGGCATAGGTTAATTCTATTCTGACTTTACTAACGTCCCCTGAGCAATATAACATGCTTTTACCCATCCCAAATGTTAAAAGGCGCCATTTCATGTTCTGACGGTTCACCCGATCTTGCGTGAAATTTGGGAAGGATAAAACCTAAGCCTGACGACAGCATGCATAGATGCATTTAAAATGTTTAATGAACGAGGTTCATTTAGATGACATTTCCCCCTTTTATTTACAGGAATTGCCGTTGGCGCCGAGAACATAATGTAAACCTAGCATTGAATATAAGGGCGCACAAAAGTAATTTATCCACTCCCAATGCATGCCAATGAGGCGTAGGAAAAAATACGTGTAATGGATATGAAGTCATTAGAGAAATTATAAACTCGATTATTCTCTTGCGTTTTAAGAACGTTAACATGTTCAATGATGTTTTATAGCAATAGGCTTCTAGATTTTAGCCTTGGGCTGAGGTTAGCTTTTTTTGACAGGAATCATTATTTCAGTGTTTTTCCACTGTTTCAGTCTGTTGGTGAAAGTTGTTGAAGACTTCTATGTATTTGACGCAGTTAGTTTAAACACCATCGCAAAGGCTTTCAATACACTATCAAACTCATGTACGGATTACATGGTAACCTATTTGTAACTTTTCACATTTCGATAGGCGATGATCAAGGCCGCTGAAATTGGATATAGGTAAATATTCTCCCAAACCTTTTCCCCTATAAACTCTTTGCTAAATTTAAATGACGAAGAATCATGTGTGGCGATTGATGCCATGGATTTGGAATTCGGGCATTGGTATGTTCGCAGTGGTAGGCGTACATCGGTATTAGGGACTTTTAGATTTGCGTGGACTTAAACGTGTGACGTCCATTCAAGGCAGTGCATTAAAAGGACGTCGATCGTAGCAATCCACGTTGTCGTTGTGCAAATCTAAAAGTCCCTAGTGATTGCTTCTTGACCAGAACTTGCGGATAAAACCATGGACCTATACTAAGTAGGTCCATGATAAAACACCCACTGATCAGTTCTTCTCATGCGTGCAAGCTTCATTCACTCGACTCGCAAGGCTGTAGCAAAGTGTATCCAGGCATATGATTGACGTGTATGCCTAATAATGGTGTAATTATTGATAAGTGCTTCAGGATCCTCGGTTCTTGCGCACGAAAAGGCGAAACTGAAAAGGATATTTAGACGTAGACATAGAACAATCAGACCATGTAATTCATAATTGACCAACCTCAACCCCCTTCCCTACTGACCTTGCCCTTGACCATTTTGACCTTGGGTGTTTTGATGGTTTACCTGATTGCTAAGAAAACATCTCTCAATTCCTTCACAAAAATATCTAAAAACTCACCTCTTCTGTTAACAATATCATCGTAAAGCGCATTTGAACATGTAACTGGAAAATGTGCTATATAAATACATTATTATATATTAAGGTATTATCATGATGATTATTACTTTTATGTGTATACTTGACGAGCTTGTACGTGATCAACCAGTAGACTGTACGTGATCAACCAGTGGACTGATGCCTTTAGGTCACCTCCGAGGGACTTAGTAGGTCTAACGAGGCAGTTGCGCATCGATTTCGTAACGAACCTGGGACCTGGGAACAAAAAGAAAGCGAAGCAAAATAATGGGAATACCGTTCAAGACAGTGTGATCACATCCGGATGACATTGAATGATGAGAAAAGTGCGTCTACAGTAAATTGTCAGACCGGGGAAAATGCTACCTGTCTCTTGGCAAACAATAATCATTACCGGTCCAAGGCCCTCCAACCGAAATTTCAGATTTTACACTAATAT